ATCATCAACTTTTATGTGCAATTATTAAGCATATTGCTTGAATGTGATCTTTATATGGCGAATTTTCATCTTTTCGTACTCTAAAGCTTGGGTGTCGATATATTGCAGTACCTATTGAGTGTAGTTTCATATAAAATTTGTATTGCAAGTTCTGGCTTGCAAAATGTAAACAGCTTCATCTGATTTTAAGTTTTTTTTAATCAAGAATAAATGCTGGAATTAAATATACAGACTTTTAACTACTTGTGTCGAGGATTTGTTTAATTTAAATTGTCGGGGTTAGTGAAAGCGGTTTTCCTACTTGAATCGGAGTTGGTTTGGATCGTTGACAATCGGTGGATATCTAATGAGTGCTTATACTAAAAAGTTTGTAAAGTACTAGGAAAACCATATTAATCAATACTGTGCATTTAGTTTTTCACTGTGCAGTTTTCCTTATAAAATACTCGTATATGTGTAAAATCAAGCAGCCACTGTGGCGTCTTTAGGTCGCATTTTTTAGCCACGAGAGTTTTGTCATTCGGTGCGCAATGCGACCTTTCCATTAAAATTGAGGTATACTGAATAAAAAATATATTTATTGACTACACTCACCCCGGGACTTCTGAGATCTCTACAATCAACGCGAGAAATCGACGGCATCAGATCATCATGTAATTTCTGTTACAAGGCACAAACGAATTGTTTGAAACAGTATTCTTTTTGAGAAAATGGGAATGGCAAGAATGTTGTTTTTTTTTATATAAGTGTGATTCCGTCTGTTTGATTGTTTGACGCGTTTCTGATAGCATCCATTATGCGGCGCCACAGACTGAATAACTGGTAAAGAAATAGTTTTTGAAACTAACGCATTAACACGTCGATTTTGGTTGGAAGGGGCCTTTACAATGACACTCAGCACTCGACCCAACGTTCAATTTAAAATTATTGAATATGTGGCAACCGTGAATGGAGTTGACAGCAGGGTGTGAATTTTGAAGTAAAACATGCCCCCCTTCCAAACAAAACCAACGTGTTTTAGCGCTTGTTTAAAAAACTATTTCCTTACGAGTTATTCAGACTGTTTCCATTTAGTTGGGCCACCCTCTAATTACATGTATAAATCCGGATAGAAACGCTTCACACCTATCCAGGTAACAGTAGAGTTCTTACGTTACGTTACAACGTCAGTTATGGAGAATTATTATCATTAGTTCACAATCATTAGATCATTAAGAAATAGCCAATATAATCAACGGTATTGTTTCGTTGGTTAGAGACGCACAATAAACCTTTTTTCCTATTGGCTATTTCTTAATGATCAAATGATAGTCAACTAATGATAATGATGTTTCACATTTAATTGCGTCCCTCATTGCGCTTTTCCTCCTCCGGGAGAAAAAGTGGCACTTGAGTCCCTTAATTGGAAGATAAAACACGGCAATTTACTTCACGTAGTACAAACAACTAATACTTATGCCTTAAGCCTGTTTAGAAAATTGTGGAATTATTGGACGGAGAATATAATGCGTCTTGGAAACTGGGCGGTCAAGTCCCACTACTGCAGATCTGTGATGTCGCATGGGGGAATGCTTATCTTGGGAAAAAGTGATAGTGCGGCTGCGGATAAGCGAGCGAAGTTTATCAATGACCTCTCCGAAGAACTTCATTTTGAAGCCTGTGGTATCCAGTTGAATGTATATACAGTAGCTGTATGTATCTACCGGTCGCCAAATGAGGATTTTGATATTTTCATGCACAAACTACAATCAATGTTAGATAAATTAATCAATTTTAATATTATTGTATCAGGTGATTTTAATGTCCATTTCGAGAATGACTACAGGTCTCAAATGTTATGTGATTTTATGGAAGCCAATGGGTTTGTCCGGACGATCTTCACCCCTACTCGTGGTGAAAATTGTCTGGACAACATTTTCATTAATTTTTCCCATTCTAATTATCGATCTGTTACAATCAATACTGGTTTATCAGACCATCTTGGCCAACATATCGATCTCTTACACTATAAATCACTGAAAAGAAATACGCTGTCTAGTAAAACATACCGCCCACTGTCGAATGAAGGAATGAACTCATTTTTTCACAAACTGGAGAGATGTAACTGGAATTCAATTCTAAATATTGATTCAGGGAACTGTAAGCTTTCCTTCTCAAACTTTCACAATCTTATTTCTGATTTTTACCAGAACTCTTTTCCTGCAATTAAGATCACAAAGAAATCGGGAATTGCCAATAATCCCAAATGGTTCAATAATAAACTTCGTAAAATGAGATCTAATCTGCAACTAGTAAGTGAGCTTTTTAATAAATATCGGACTCAAAGTTTATATAATACAAAAAAAATCCTCTCGTCGACTTATAAAAAGGAGATAACTATAGCCAAAATGACGACTTTATTACAAAGTCGGGAAATTCCCTCAAAGCCATGTGGACAATCATCAATAGTTATAATAAATGCCCAAGTGTACCACGTACAATATTATCTTGTACAGATTTCAATCGTTTCTTTAGTAGTAACTTTGATGAAATATTAGCTAATCTGCCTGACAGTGTCAATGATCCTGTTACTTATTGTAGATCCTATCGAAACACTTACCTCTTTGAATTCAAAAGCGTATCTCAGATTGACATCCGCGACGCGATCAAAAATTTACGAAATAGTAACTCTAGACATATTCGGTTTAAGCTTAACATTGATTAAACGTAACATAAGTGCCTTTGTGGAACCTCTCACCAAATTGACAAACCTGATCATTGCGACAGGAGTATTTCCCGATATTTTGAAATTAGCGTTAGTCATACCCCAATTAAAGAAGACACTGGTAGTTACAGACCAATTTCCAACCTCCCCATTTTTAGTAAAATAATTGAAAAGGTGCTCTATAAGCAAATAGTACAGTTTTTCGAATTTAACAATATTTTCTATCGCCATCAGTATGGATTTAGAAAAGGAAGGTCTATTTCTGATGCAATGACTTCTTTTACTATCAGTGTTCTAAACTGCTTCGAGACCAGACAGCATACGGTTACTGCTTTTGTGGACCTCTCCAAAGCTTTCGATTGTGTGTCACATGACATTCTAATACGCAAGCTTGGAGAGGTTTACAACTTCAGCAGCGTCAGTCGATCACTACTTGCTTCTTATTTGAGCAAGAGGTATCAATGTGTCATCTTTAATAATGTCATTTCCGAGAAATTACCGATTGTGCGTGGTGTACGCCAAGGGTCCATTCTTGGCCCATTGTTATTTTTAATTTATATAAATGACCTACCTGCATCTTTGCCATCAAAGATGAAATGCATATTGTATGCCGATGATGCCACACTGATATCTACTGATCAAGTGCTTGACGCTGCGTATTCAACTATAAAGGAAGGGGAACAAACTAAAATTAAATGCATCCAAAACTACTATTATGCCTCTGTCCTTAAAGAAAGGTGTTATTGAAATTAGTTGCAAGTCAATCTCTTGTTTGGGGTGCAACATTGATTCAAAATTGAATTTCAAATATTACTGCAATAGTGTAAGTAAAAAATTAAATAAATCAATATTTTTACTTACTAGATTGCGTTATAATACCTCTATTAATATTACTACAAGTGCCTATTTTGCCTATGCCCACAGTATTATGTCATATGCCATACTAGCATGGGGCCATAGCTCCCATTGGCATTGCATTTTTAAACTCCAACGTAGAGCTTAGGGTTATATCTTGTCTTGGTTATAGGGACGAGTGTCGTAAGGCATTTATTGACCTAAGAATTTTAACTCTTCCCTGTATTTATATCCTTTCTGCAGTGTGTTACGCTAAGCAAAATATGTCTACTAATGTACAACAGTCAAAAGTGTTGCTCATAGTAAAAGATTTTGATTAATTCGCGGTTGGGTGACGGTACCAATACGTGATATTTTGAGAAAAGTAAACAAAAAACTTTGCGTTTGGTCATTAGTGCGGCTACAGTTACTTTTCCAATTTTAAATTTTGATTATGTCGCGTTTGAACTGTCGAAAAGTTTAGTCATACATTTGAACCGTTTGGGTCGTGAACTATCAAGGGAGAATCACGTACTTTTCGTCAATAAGCAAATTTGTGCTGAATTCGTCAAAGGCGAAAGTCTGTGAGTGTTCGAGCATAATACAATATCAAAGTGCGAACTTTGTGCGAGTTAATATTGAGGAAGGAATTAAGTGATTCTGTCACCAAAAGTAGACGACATAATAAACTTCATTGTGAAATATGCACGTTCCCGATAGATTAATTAAACTGGCTGTTTTTTTTTGATAACACTTATTTTTGTAGCCGTTAGTGAACAAAAGTGGATGCAATTTGTTGGTTGGAATACGTAACTCTAAAATAAAGATACGTGCCCGGAGTCGAAGGTAGAGTGAAAAGATATCTGGTTAATGGCCGTTTCCATCGACAAATTTAAGCAAAATCCATGGCATCGATTATTGAGACAATGGTTGCCATGGATTTTAAGTTACGCACTTAAATTTGTCTGTGCAAACGGCCATTAGTAAACAAATTTCTCCTTTCTGTGAATAAAACTAGCGTTCAGACCCATGTCTAAAACCCGTTAATGACAAACTTTTACGTTAATAAAAAGTGTGCTTGCAATTAATAAATAACGGCATTCAGCTATCGAAAAAATCACAAGAACCTTAGTGTTCGCCAAAGACTTGTTTACTGTCGGAAGGTTCCAATCGGCAGTTTTAGGATTATTTTCTCCATGTTAGTGTAAAGTGGCCGTTCCGATCTTTGTATTGTGCCACCAGCGTAATTTAGTGATAATAATAATTTATTTATTAAAATGTGAAATTGTCAAATACCCATCATCTAATAAAATACTTCATTTGTTCTCCAAATGATACCAAAGATAATTTCGAATTTTAGGATTGAGACGTGTGTATTAAGCTTAGTACAAATGTGAAGGCTATAGCTATTATGTGTAAAATTCTTTAGATAAGATGTATTAAAATGCTTTAATAATTTTAGGCTCAAAGGGAAGCCACGGATCAGTCGATTCTCCTCGCTCAAACAAGAGTTCTCCAGGGCACATCAACTCTGGAAGCGCAGCAACCACGCCCATGTTAGAAAGCGTTACCGTAGAAGTTCGTAATCCATAAACGAAACATGTGATTGTTATAATACATATAATTATAACACGCAAAAATTTAAATTAGAACATGACAAGGAATATTAGGGATAGTGAGTTGAATGTATATGACAAGTTGGACGCATCACTGTTCGTAACATTCCTTGCTTGCTTAATTTTAAGGACTTATGTATCAAATAAATACCTTACAAAGTGATGTAGGGGACCATTGAATCTTGTCCAAAAATGTTAAAAATTCTTGCGTAGAGAAATTCTCAGCTTAACTATTCCTTTTTTAAAACATTTAAATGTTTGTATTAATGCTAGGTGTTAAAAAATTCATTACGCACATTAAGTTAATCAGACACGCCTTACACATATCTTAAATTCTACAGCGAGCTATAAACAACGGTGTTAGCTTGGCTTAAATTACTGATATAATATAATACATTAAAAATAATGATAATAATAGCATAATATTTTCAAACTATATTGTATCTAATTTCTCTTTACTAGGTTTGGTGGTTCAAAAAAATACTGGGAATTTTTGTGATACTACCAAGCTGTGATTGTAAGTAGCTGCTCTCTTAGTATACAATGCTAAAAGAAAGGCGGAATGCAGTGGGAAAGCCTTTTGCCTTTCTTGGTGCATTTAATTAAGTACATCACAATTAGTGTGACGTACATCTAAATCTGTACTTAAAGTGAAAAACTCTAATACGTATAGGTAATTCATTGAATTTTATTATTATACACTGTTCAGGTATCTATGCCTACCTTAACTGTAAATCAAATATTGTAAGCTCTTATTATAAAATTAGGAAAAGTTTGCTTACCTTCAGAGTGTAACAACTAATTTGTTGTTACAAGAACCATATAGCTAATGCAATCAACACCTTCATTTCGAGACGATGTACTCCTAAGATATATTATTGTATTCTACATTATACATAAGCTTAGTCTTGTACTATTGTACTAATATTTTCACACGTTTTACTGTATCTTGTACTTGCCAATACTTTTAATAAAATTCTTAGGAAACTTCCATTTCGCATCATGTTATAAACATTCCCATCAATTAAATGAAAAACCGTTTTTATTCTCGATTTCAGTTAGACCTTGAAATTGATAGGTTTTGTATCAGAAACGTCCGCTATTGTCCCTCTTTTGATCATACCATGGACTAATTAGTCTACGTTCATACCTTTTACCAGACAGCACCTTATAATGAGCTATCTTAGCTACCTCTTGAAAAGGCCGATATAGTTTTGTACAAAAAGTTGTATAACGAAGTAATTGATGGGCAATTGCAATCAGCATTGTTAAATCGGGGGATTTGTAGGTATCGATAGGATATTTAAATGTAATGGCATGGTGATTTATTACAGATTCGAGGTTTGAAAGGATTATTCCTAATTATCTATGCGTGAACATCCGTTTTCCAATCAGTTACTGCCAGCCTCCCCCTATCAAACCCTGTGCCGCAAAACAATGCAAACATATTTGTAACATCCGATAATGTTTTAGTAATCCACAAGTTTTTCTGTACCACATTATCCTTTAGATGATCCTTTAGATGTTTCCAGAGGTCCCCACTATCAGAAAACAAGCTGACTTATGACTTATTAGGCCTCTCGTACATGGTTTGTGATTGCTAAAATATACGAACAACTTTGCCTTAGTAATTTTTGTAGAAATATTTAGGTGGTAGGTTTCTTACGGTATGGTTTTGAATATATTGAAAGACTACGGCATATAGACAGCTTTAAAATATTTTAGAAGATTTAGAAACTGCTTTCGTGTCAAAAATATTATGAAGAGATCCCTCCGGCAAATCTCTTTAGGAACGCGTGCCTCGTACATCTTAAATATCCCCCTGTAGGTACGTCCTGGAGATCGTAAAATGCGACTAATGGACAGGCGGCAACGCCTGGGCTGTCCTTTTTAGTTCTCGGGTAATGTTTTTTCTTTCGAAAACCATTACGGTAATTTTTTTCATTCTTAATGGTGAACAAGTACTTTAAAAGAATTCGGTTGGACTATACCGTTCTGATGGAAAACGACCTGATGGGATAACGCTTACAGAATATGCTAAAGGCCAATCCCTTGCATGGGACTGTACATGCGTGGACACTTTATCCCAAACAAACATTAAAAATACTTCAATAAGGGCCGGAGCTGCATCAGAAGAGGCATGCTCAAAAAAACACAACAAATATCGAGATTTAAAGAAAGATTATATATTTATGGGACTTGCCTTCGAGACACTTGGACCATGGTGCAAGGAATCACGAGATTTTCTGAATAAAATAGGCAAAATTTTAATTGCGGAATCCGGCGACAAACGCGCTAAGCAATTTTTATTTCAAAGGATATCCTTGGCCATCCAACGTGGAAATAGTGCATGTATCCTGGGCACTCTCCCAACTGAAAAACAGTTCGACGAAATTTTTTTGTTATAGTTAATTATTGTTTTCTTCTTTGTTACACAATTTTAAATATTTCGTTTAAATAATAATTACGCATCGTGAATAATAAATCAAAAAAAAAAAAAAAAAAAAAATTTGTTCCCTTAGATATATATTATTGTAACTTACATTTAATTACGTCTTTTATTTATTTCCAATTAATTAACAATAACAATTAATTGATAACAGTAAATACAATATTTAGCACTCACAATTTATAATATAAGAAGAACTCATATTAATGTTGGAAACGCAACTCGACCCGCTTATATAGCAAACGACAATTGTTCTTCATTGCCGATGACTAATCGTTCACGGCGCCTCGATGTCTATCGACATTTCTGGAATGTTCACTATACTGCCTCCTTCTTTAAATTGTTGCGTCTCGCAACACGGACGATGGTTGTAGCGGAGACAAAGTCCCAGTCGGTTATTCCCTTTACGACGGTATACGGTCCTTTCCAAGCTCTTTGCAATTTCGGCACCCTCCCTGTGGACAATATAACTAAACAAGATCTCCGGGTTGATAACCACCCGCTTGGGTCTTTACTTTCATTATTATAGCTAGCTAACTGCATATTATCGCGAACTTTGTCCTGATTGGCGCCCAATTTCTGTCGCCGATTCTCCGCATACTCGTTCCGGCAGTTTTTAGGGAAATTTTTCGAAAAAAGAAAAATTCCGCCCGTCCGTCTGTTCCGCGTCTAACTCGACAACTAGAAGAGCTAGCGATGTTGAACCTTTGCCAATCGGTTTCTACGAGTTCAAGGATCAGTGCTATTGAATATGAGCCAGATTAAAAGTCTGGATTCCCAATACGCGCTGATTGGCAAAAAATTCCTCTACTGAAAATCGTATGCGATCGTGTTTCCTGTTCGGGTCTTGTACCAAACTGCAAATCGTACGGCCACCGTAGTTCTCGGTCAAACAGCACCGAAGCTGGGCCCTGTTGTGGTTTCCTGCACCCCAAAATTGATCGCCATCAGGAACAAATGCAGATGTTGATTACGCTGGTGGTCGGGCACAGCTTTTGACAAGTACTTCCCCATTATCCTATTCATTCGTTCTACCACTCCGTCTGACTGTGGGTGTGAAGCAGTGGTCCTGGTCTAGCGAGTGTCCAATAGTTGACACATGCTTTGGAATAGCGCCGACTCAAAGTTTCGTCCCTGGTCAGAGTGCAGTTCCAGGGATACTCCAAGTCTGTTATAAAGTTCTTATAACAGAACATCTGCCACAATTGTCGCATCGCATCTTGATGTGGTAGAGCATAATATGGTTCCATTTTCTGAAATAGTCCATGGCCACCAAGATGTATTTATTTCCAGAAGCTGTCTCTGGGAAAAGGCCCGCGATATCTATGGTTATTCTTTCAAATAGACTACTCACATTGTATTACCTCATTGGTGCCTTCTTCTTTCCTACTGCTCCGTTGCTTCAATTGCTTGTGGCAGACACCGCATCTTGCGTGCAATTCGTTTCCGTACGTTTTCGTCACTCGCAAATACCTTCCCGCTATACCGTCGTTATCCTAGTACTTCGGTATCACTATACGTCGTCTAGTATAAAAACCGTCAGAGGTAACCGCCCACTGCAAAGTTTATGTCTTTTTCTTCACATGGGTTAGATAGAAATGAAAATCTAATAGAATAATTTATGTGCCACAGGCGACCAGCTTTTACAGTGGGCGGCTACCTACGATGATTGACGTGACTGTTTTTATACTAGAAGAGCATAGTCGCAGACGTGCCATTATCATTTTCTATTGTACTGGGGCACAAGTCCCAATCTCAGTATACTGCTTTAACTTGGTCGGGAATGAGTTTAAATACATTAGCCTAACAGGTGTTAGTTGTTTGGCATTTACTAGCACCTTTCCAATTAAAATTCCTCGATCCATATTGGTATAATTTATTGGGTTCCATCACTCTCAAGCATCACTTCCATACATGCGACCATCATCGGCAGGTTGACATCATCCACAAGGGTTACGCGTAGCAGATCATGTCCTTCCTCATACGACGATATCATAAGTTCTTATCAGAACCACAGTCAAATATACATGGTTCGTTCGGGGTAAAAATTCTATGCAGCACTGATTACTTTTTCTCTTACTTTCTGTCACAGTACGTTTGGTACTGTTTTCTTTTTTATTACAATTATAAGCAGCGCCGGATTAACAATGGGGCACTTGGGGCACTTGCCCCAGGGCGCATTTTGAAAAGGGGCGCAACATTTGGAACAAATAGTGTTACTATATTAGGTAGCTAACAAACATTTAAATATCAGTCATATCAATTCTTATTAAACATTAAACTTGAAATTTAAACCTGGCTACTGACTAGTCTCGCACGCTCAGCACACATACATGACTCATTTATAAAAAATAACACGTAGGTATTATGTATCAAATGTCGCCAAAAGCGAATGAATGCGCTTTTGTTTTGAAAATGACCGACGAAATAAGCAATACATTCGACTTTCTTCTTACACAGCGAGTTAGAATTATTTTATAAGTCCTACATCACATCACTCTACATGGCAACCAATTCGTCCTTTTCGTTCTTTTAAAGTTTTAACGCGTAGGTACCGGTACAGTCGTGGAATTATAATTTGGTTCTAAAAGTTCTAAAATTTATAGACATATAGTCCGAGCTAAATCAACGGCTAGCGAAATGAGTTTGCATAATATGAGTGGTGCTAAACGGCGTAAACTTGCAAAAGACAAACGTGATAAATTAGAAAAATTTCTTGTTAAAGTGCCTACGTTAAGTTTTATTCAATGGTTAAGTGCTTTCTTTTCAAACGAGGATGCAGGGGCTCCTTCAAATTCAACATCAACAGCAGCCATCCTGGGAGATGGTGTTGCTGCTAATAATCCTGATAATGTAGTTGAAGCTGGTGTAGATCAAACTCATTTAAAATGTATGTCTTTTTCCTATTTGTTTATTATACTTAGCATGGGTATTTCGCAGCGGATCAGGATCATACAAAAAATGAATCTGAAACTGAGAGTTCCGAAAACATATTTCCGTATGAAACCGTATTACTTTAGATACAGATGTGATAATAGAAAGATTTTTTTCTATTTCGGTGTTACAATGAGAATTTTGTGCAACTGTTTTCG